CGGCCGGCCCCCCCCCACCGCTGCCTCACCTGAATCTTGGGCAGGATGGACACAACCGAGAGGATGAGGCAGAGGATGAGGTTGATGCTGATGAGGACCTTGCCCTCCGTGCAGCCCTCGGGCTTAGTGTAGTAGATGTAGAGCAGCACTATGGCCGCAATGGAGGTGGCGTAGAAGATGAAGGTGACAAGGCAAAGGGCTGGGAAAGAAAGCAAAAAGGGAAAAGGCTGGAGCAGAGTCCCCAGTCCCCGTCAGCTCAGTGTCACCCACCCCCAGGACAAGCGTCCTCGTCCCCAAACCCTGTGTGGTGCCAGCCATACCCACCTGCGTACCAGCCCTTGGCGCTGCCCTCGCCTGCCTTGCGCCGCCACAGCTGGCTCCAGGAGGGGGCAAAGTCGATGAGGGGGATTGATGAGGAGGAAGAGGAAGGAGCCGACCACACCGAAGTAAAACCAAACTTGAGGGGAGGAAAAAAAAAAACCAAAGAGCTAAGAGCAGGGCAAGCAGGACTTTTGCCAAAGGGCAGTGGGGATGCCACCCTCAGGCCCAGGTTTGATCCTGTGCCGGGGATCCAGCGGTGCTGAGGACAGCGTGGGCAGCTCCTCACCTGAGGTGAAGGTGCCGTCGGGGATGTAGAAAGCCCCCACCGTGAGCCCCACCAGCACCAGGAACTTGAAGAACCAGAAGCTGCGGGAAGAGAGATGAGGCACGATCTGCACGCGGGAAGCCAACGGGGAGGAGGGTGTCCAGCCCCACACCAGCATCCCCCCCCAGCCCGGGATGAAGGCTCACCCGTTCTGCACGGCGGCTCGCGGGTCCTTGCTGCTGCGCACGCACACCATGATGGCAGCGAAGAGGAAGAAGAAGGCAGCCATGGCGAAGCCCATGCGGTACACGGCTTTGTGGCCCAGGAAGCTGCTGCAGTTGACGTGGGTCTGGACCCCCAGGACCGACCCGCTGCCTTCGCAGAAGCCAGGGAGCTGCAACGGGAAGGTGAGCATCACGCCGGCACCCCGCGCCCACCGCGAGCCCTGGTGCCACCAAAGATGGGCCAGCCCATGACTGCTCCAGGGCAAGAAAAAAAAAAAGAGCAAGCAGCTGGCCTGCTCATGGTGGGGGGACACAGCTAAAGCCACCCTGCACGTCAGGGGAAAGCTGGGATGAAACCAGTCGTTCCCAAAAAGCCTGGCCCAGCCTGTGCATTAGCTCTGCTGGCAGATTGCAGCTCCCTGCATCCAAAGTCCCACTTCCACCTGACTTGCAAGTCGTTTGGCCAGTTGGACCTCAAAAATGGGATGTGAGAAGTTGTCCTGGCAGACATCTGAGAAAACTAGATAATGCATGAAATTATCCCACTGCTTTTTCGGGGTTAAAAACACCCTCCTCCAGTGACACTGGCAGCCTGTGTCTAGTGGGG